GTAACATGAAAGCTTTCAAGATAGAAAACACACACACACGCATGCACACATACACACACAGCATCATAATAAGATTTTTATTTAAACTGTTTTTTCCTCTCCTCTTTGCTAATGTTTCTTCTACTTGTGGGATTGACTGCTGAAAAAAATTTTTGTGAAGGATTCTCCATCTCCATAGCAACAGGCAATGTGCTAAGTCCATCAGGAGGTAAACATTTTCATAGTCTTCATCACAAAGAGCTTTACTTCAATGAAATATGAGAGTAACCAATCAAATAGCTTCCAAAGCAACATCATATTCCTTGTGTCATTGATACAATGCAATCCTTGAATTGGTTTATGAATAGCTCCAATTTGGGGAATAATTTTCTATTGGAATAAAGACTCTAGCAAAAATTCAACCTGACTTCTCCTTGCCTGTCATGAAGAGTTCAACCAACATATTTTAGGTAACTGTCATTTAGAAAGGTATCACTATACATTTTCTCCCATAAAACAGTTCCTTCAGCTGAAGCCGGTTTGGCTCAGTGGTAGAGCGTCGGTCTGCGTACTGAGAGGTCCCAGGTTCGATTCCGGTCAAGAGCATGTACCTTGGTTACAGGCACATCCCTGGTAGGGGGTGTGCAAGAGGCAGCTGGTCAATGTTTCTCTCTCATGGAGTGTTTCTAGCTCTCTATCTCTCTCCCTTTCTCTCTGTTAAAAATCAATAAAATATATTTAAAACAAAAACAAAAACAAAAAAACAGTTCCTTCAATACAAATGGCTCTAATCTCAGTAATAGCATCACAGTATCTATGAACAAATATATCCATAAAAATAGAGTTCTTCGTATTTTCAACATCTTCCTGATTTTCTTGTATACATCAAAAGTATGTTTCCCCCATAACACCTATCACAGTATAGGTCTCTTTGCATTTCTGAAGTAGCAACTTTAACCTTTGATTGGCTCTTTTCCCAATCATTTTATTTCTTTCAGCTTCATACTATCTCTGAGTATTATCCTGATAAATTCTGAGGTATAAGGCAACATTCATAGAAGCAGTAATGAGCTTCACAGCAGCAAGGGTGTTTGTATGCCTAAAAAGTCTGATCTGGGAGTCTGACAAACCAGTCAAAAGGGAGATTACTGGGTCCATCATATATAGATCATAACTTATGCTATACTAATCTGTCAAATCAGGACTCTGGTAAATTCACAAATTTTTTTCCAGTGAGGTCAAGGCATGGTAAGGAGATAATCACCCCTATCCTCGTCAAATTCTTCAGTAATTTTTCTGATGATTTCTGCATTCTACATATTTCAAAACAGGTCTATCCTCACAGTACTTTGACATTCTAAACACAGGGTAAAAAAGCTGATAACCTAGCTGGTTTGGCTCAGTAGATAGAGCATTGGCCTGAGGACCAAAGAGTCCCCGGTTCAATTCCAGTTGCAGACCCTGATCAGGGCATGTGTAGGTGGCAACCAATAGATGTTTCTCTCACATCGATATTTCTCTGTTTCCCTCTCTTCTACTCTCAATGGAAAAATATCCTTGGGTGAGGATTAGAAAAAAAAAGTTGATTAAATTCAGAAGTGCACTGTCTCTGTCTTGTTTATGATTTAATTCAGTTATCTACCAGTACTGCACTGCACTTTCCCCATTTCACTACTTCAAATAATGTGACAGACTCCCCTTCGTCATTCTATTGCAGGTACCCATTTTTCCATGGCTTCAGTTCTAACTGCAGCTTCAATTCTCCTGTTCTTTCCTGGAGATTTTCGAGGTTTCTTTTTTGTATACTAGAGGTCTGGTGTACGGAATTCATGCACGGGAAGGAGAGGTGTCCCTCAGCCCAACCTGCACCCTCGGAGGATGTCTGACTGCTGGACCTAAACAAGCAGTTGGGACATCCCTCTCACAATCCTGGACTGTTGGCTTCCAACTGATCACCTGCCTGCTTGATTGCCCCTAACCGCTTCTGCCAGCCAGCATGATCACCCCCTAACTACTCCCCTGCTAGCCTGATCGATGTCTAAGTGCTCCCCTGCCAGCCTGATCGTCCCCAACTGCCCTCCCCTGAAAACCCAGTCACCCCAAAATGCCCTCCCCTGCATATTCCCTCTTTATTAGATAGGGTTTTTTCTTTAACATATTCGACAGTCCTAACTGGTTTGGCTCAGTGGATGGAGCAACGGCCTGCATACTCAAGGGTCCCAGGTTCAATTCTAGTCAAAGCCATGTACCTTGGTTGGGGGCACATACCCAGTGGGGACTGTGCAGAAGGCAGCTGATCAGTATTTCTCTCTCATAGATGTTTCTAGCTTTCTATCCCTTCCCCTTCCTCACTATAAAACATCAATAAAAAAATATATATATATAAAAGAAACATTTAAGATTCCTCCATATCTGCCTGGCTGGTGTGACTCAATGGCTGAGAACCCAGGCTGGACCAGGAAGGGATCTCTGCATGGGTCCGCATGCCACTGCCAGCCTGAGACCCCAGGCTGGAACAGGAGCCCAACTGCCATGTAGGTCTGTGCGCCGCAGCCAGCCTGAGACCCCAGGCTGGGGACATGGACCCAAACCACTGCATTCGCAAACAGCTGCAAGTGGGGTGGGAACGTCCCTCCATCACTATGGTGATGCGAGGATGTTCCTGCCCCACCTCCAGCCACTTGGCACCTGTTCCAAGTGGCCAGGGGGCATTCTGAGACCTCTGCCACTCAGGGCCTAAACACAGGCCTCCAGGCTAGGAGCAGCCTGAGTCCAGAGGATGTTAACTGCCATTTCTGTTGGGTTGATTTGCATACTCTCTCTAATTGGCTGTGGGCTTAGTGAAGGTATGGTCAATTAGCATTTTTCTCTTTTATTAGTGTAGACAGAAGCTGGCTGGGATAACACCTTTTCTTTTTCCTTTGACTTCTGTTTCTTCAAATTCATTGCCAGTATCAGAATGAGCAGTAGTTTCATTTGTTGAACCTGTAACACTGGTAACTCTGAAGTAATCATTGTGGAGAGGTGTTTTCATAATGGAGGGAAGAATGAAGCACTATACAACTCAAAACTTGAGAAACAACCTAAAAGGCAATCCTCAGCTACCTATCCAGGTGCTGCAGCCATTAACATAGTTACACCTCAAAAGTCTTTGCTGTGTTATTCCAGTTGCCGGGGTTTAGGAGAAGAAGACGGCCATCAAGACAGTTGCAATCCTAACTCACCATCTGGTAGCATTTTCCACATGCCAGTGGCATAGGCTGCTGATAAGCTCAGAAAGGGGAGGAAATTGGGGGCCACTGTGGGAAAATACAATAACTCTTTCCAATGGGGACTGAGTGCATACCAATAATTTTGCACTGTTAAGGAGAGAAGTTTATGGGAAACCCTCAATACCTGGATTGAGAATGCCTCTACAGAGTTCTGCATTTGCTACAGGAAATATTGCAGGATAAAAACTATTTTTTAATATATTTTATTGATTTTTTTTTTTTTTTACAGAGAGGAAGAGAGAAGGATAGTTAAAAACATCGATGAGAGAGAAGCATCGATCAGCTGCCTCCTACACACTCCCTACTGGGGATGTGCCTGCAACCAAGGTACATGCCCTTGACCAGAATTGAACCCAGGACCCATCACTCCCCAGGCCAATGTTCTATCCACTGAGCCAAACTGTCTAGGGCTAAATCTATTTTTTTCATGTTACATATTCTTAGGAAATATTTTCCCCATCTCCAAAGCCCAAGCAAAACTAATTTCCTTCTGAGCCAGTGAATGGATTGCTCCAGTCTACCTCTTCAATGGGAGTATCACTCTCTGAAGGAACCAGATTGATGAGAGCTCCCAGTCTCACAAAGTGCCTAATGCCTCACTTGTTGCACCCATGCGGGTTATTTAAACCCACAAATAGTAAATGCTACCAGGACAGGCTTAACATCAACTCAATGGCCAAATGTACTGGTTTTTATATCACTTTCATATTTACCTGCAGATATTTCTCTTATATTCTTACAAAACCATGGTACTGGAGAATCAAGAGCTCTGATGACTCCACTGGTTTGGGACTAGGATCTTTTATCACATAAAATTTTACATGTTTTATTCAGTTTTGTGTGTGTGTGTGTGTGGTGTGTGTGTGTATGTTTATATCAACATGATTTTAAGGTTATCTGTTCCACCATATTACCAAAACTGAAAATGAAACTGTAACATTACAAATAATTATTCCTTGTTCAAAGTCAACAATTAGGACCACCATTTGCTTTTTGTTTTTTTTTAATTGATTAATTTGAGAGAGAGGAAAGTGAGGGAACACATGAATTTGTTTTTCCACTATTTATGCATTCATTGGTTGATTCTTGTATGTGCCCTAATCGGGGATTGAACCTGCAACCTTGACATATCAGGATGATATTCTAACCAACTGAACTACCTAGCCAGGGCCTAATTTGCTATTTTTGACCAACCAGCCCCTATTCCCCCAAATTTTGCTTCATCTCTCCCTCTCGGCCCATGTTTGACTAGTTGACTCTAATAAGGGTGAAGAATGTAGTTAAGACTTAAATAAACCAATAGATGTCCATCCCTGGCCCAGGGATAGAAGCTGAGTCCAGTCAGAACAAAGCCCAGGACTGTTCTGAATAGAAAACAAGAAGGCCCATGGGGCTTTCCTATAGAGAAGGAAAGTTATAAAAATGCTGCTAGCCAAGGGACTAACGGGAAGAGCAAAACAGACCAACCACAATGGGGAAGAAGTGTGACCTGTGACCAACACTGAGCTAATGATGAGAAAGTAATGCTGAGTCCAGGAGGGCTAGATCCTAGTCCCAAACCACTGGGGTCACCAGAGCTTCTGATTTTCTAGTACCATGATTTTTCAGTTCCACGAGCCAATACATTTTCTTCCTTACCTAAGACACTTTGAGCTGGGTTTGTCAACTGAAAGCATTCTTAGTGACATGGAAATTCACCAGTGCTCAAATTAAAAGTTCAATAATGAAAACAAAATTGTACTTACTTACCTGGATAACCAATTCCTTTGACATTCGTATAGGGAACTCCAGATGAACTAGGACTATAAACAGGATTCATGACTTTGAGAACTAAAAAAGAAAAAGAAAGGTTTAGTCAAACACTATTGTTCTCAGTTTTCCTCCAAGAATAATCTCAAAAAAAGAAGGTAACAAAAGTCCTTCCCCTCCTTTACATAATAAGACATCTCATTCTGCTGCCAAACAACAGTAAACAGAAAAGCAACAGCAATAGCTGAAGGGACACTGTAAACTTTCCTTTACAACTGCTTCAGAGCATAGGACACTGTAAACTTTCCTTTACAACTGCTTCAGAGCATTAGAAGCTGTAAACTTTCCTTTACAACTGCTTCAGAGCATTAGAAGCTAAGAAAAAGAAAAAAAAAAAAAAAAGTGGTGTTCTCTACATCCCTGCTTAAAATAGTGTATGTAGGGGGAGGCGGGGAGGGAAGGGGGTTGTAAATAATCTAAATGTTCTTATAAAGAAGAGAATAGTTAAGTAAAACATATCTAACTACAACATGAAATATTGATTCAATTGCTGTTAAAGATGTTAAATGAAGAAATATCTGGTGAGGTAGGGGAAAATGGCAGCTGGCAGGACAGAGGTAAAGGAGAGGGTGTGAGTGAGTAAAGGGGTGAAAGGAGAGTGTGTGTATATGTGTGGTGTGTGTGTGAGTGAGTGAGGGACAGTTAAATCCAGCAGGAATAGGAGAGGCTGGCAGACCAGGCTCTCCTGAACAGGGAGCACCCACAACTGCTGTAGGTACTCCCCAGGCTGCAGGGCTTGGGCACGGAGCCTACACCATGCAAATGGCCACTTTTAGGAACTCATCAGCACCACCACCCAGACTGACCTTGGACACTGCCCGTGGCCCTGCAGCCTGGGTAACTGGGGAGGATGAGCCACTGGCCCATATAGGACACCAAGCACACAAAGCTACCCTACCATCTCAGGGAAGCAGCGAAAATGCAGACACAAAGAAACAGATCACAAATGAAAGAAATGGAGGAAAAAAAATAACTGGAGATAGAGTTCAAAACCACAGTTATAAAGTTTTTCAAGAATTTCCTAGAAATTTCCTAGAAATTTAGGGAGACCCTCGAGGATATGGAAAAGGACCAACTAGAAATTAAATATATACTCATTGAAATAAAAAATATTATACAGATACCCGACAGCAAACTAGAGGAATGCAAAAAAAAAAAAAAAAAAAAGTCAAAGATTTGAAATACAAAGAAGCAAAAATCACTCAACTGGAAAAGCTAAAAGAAAAAAGAAAATTTAAATATAGTGTAAGAAGCTTCTGGGACAACTTCAAGCATACCAATAACAGAATAATGGGGGTGCCAGAAGAAGAGACCAAGATGCTGAAAACCTATTTGAAAAAATAATGACTGAAAACTTCCCCCCACCTGGTGAAAGAAATAGACTTAAAAGTCCAAGAACCGCAAACAAAAGAATCCAAAGAGGACCACACCAAGACACATCATAATTAAAATGCCAAGAGCAAAAGACAAAGAGAGAATATTAAAAGCAGCAAGAGAAAAACAGTTTGTTAGTTACCTACAAGGGAGCACCCATTTGATTGTCAGCTGATTTCTCAATAGAAACTATGCATGTCAGATGGGAGTGGCAAGAAATATTCAAAGTTATGAATAGCAAGAACCAAAATCGTACACCTATGTATGAGGACAGTGGGGGTGAGGTAAGGGAAGAGGGTGGGATGGGAACCAGGTGGATGGGAGCTATGGGGGGAAAAAAGAGGGATACCTGTAATGATCTGAATAAAGATTTATTAAATTAAAAAAATAAAATAAATTAAAGAACCTAAAAAAAGTTAAAATCATATTTTTAAGGGCACTTAAGTTTTGTTTTGTTTTTTTCTAATTCTCTAGTTCTGTGGCATTACACTACTCATTCTCTCAATGTTTGAAAATTCAAATAATTCTGGCATCACAATTCTGTCTAACTTTAAAACAGAAATGAGTTGAAAAGCAGTTGTAGAGCAGAATATCTGAAAATCCTAACAAATAACAGGAGAGCCTAATAGGAGGGCAGGGGTAGCTGCTGCAGCAGATGGTGCTTCCGCCTGTCTGATGAGTGCTTCCGCCTGTCTGATGAGTGTCAGTGCCCTACACACATAGCCAATCCTTCCACTATTATGAAGAGCAGAAGGCAGTTAGAGGGGGCGCTATGTGTTGGGCACTTCTAGTAACTACTGCACCAAAAACACCCAGTCGAACCCAAGGAAGCAGGCTGTCTCCAACTCTTAAATCCCTCAGGGACCTCTACCAGACCTTAGTTTCAAGAGAGGGCTAATCTTAAGTAAGTATGCAAACACTTGTAAGCCGCATAACTTAAAACAAAATCTCCACAATGTGAATCAACAGTAGAAAAAAAAAAAATAGCTTTGACTTAATTCTTGGTTTAAAATGCAAAAATAATCCACTACATTTATACTTGCCAACGTTTAAAAATGTGCCGGAAATAAAAGTTATTAACCTAGTGTTTCATAAAATATTTGTGAAAGTAACCTAAAATTACAAATACAAGGATGACTTGAAAATTTAAGGAGTGGGCCAAAACCGATTTGGCTCAGTGGTAGAGCGAAGGTCTGTGGACTGAAGGGTCCCGGGTTCGATTCTGGTCAAGGGCATGTACATTGGTTGCGGGCACATCCCCAGTAGGGGGTGTGCAGGAGGCAGCTGGTCGATGTTTCTCTCTCATCGACGTTTCTAGCTCTCTATCTCTCTCCCTTCCTTTCTGTAAAAAATTAATAAAATATATTTTTTAAAAAAAGAAAATTTAAGGAGTGGGAACCAGACAAATCTTTCTATCTAAAAAAATTTCTTGCATGCCAAAACACTCCAAAGTATTTTTATAAACATTATTAAAAATTAAAAATCCATTATGTACACACTTATATACACTATAAGGGAGAAATAGCTTGTTTGTAGACAATTTGTAAAATCGTACCTTTTTCAAAATTAAGCAAGACTGGGACACAAAATGTCTTCTGACGAAAACATTAAAAGCATTTCAAGCTGGAGGGCAAACACTAAGCTTCTGCCAGGCAAATAGAATATTTTTTACATCGTGGATAGAGAAAGTGAATAAATTGTATATAAGAAATTATCAAAATCATAAGAACCCAAACCTAACTTACAGAAACAAAAAACCCGCTGCTTCTCCATTTTTCTTCCAATTTCCTGATCTGATCTAAATAACACCTTAAGGAGCCTAGAGAACGTTTTTGTGCAAAGACTTCACTAGGCAACAGTCTTCAAAGCCCACACCGCACTGCCGCACCCCTCTCCACCTACCAGGCTCTGTGAGTCCCAGGAACCCAGGCTACACCGCTCAGCCCCGCCCTGCGGAACTGAGTGCGCGGATCCCCTCCAGGGCTCGGAAGGGCCTGAGAGACGGACTCGACCTCGGGTGCCGCCCCAGGGCGGTTGCACAAAGAGCCGAACTTCCGGCCAGACAGCCCACCCCCCACTCACCGCGCTGCCAGTTGTGGTGGCGTCCTGGGTCTGGGGGACCCGCTTGGCGAAGTGGCTCCACAAGGGGCTAACAGCGCGGAGGCTTTGCTTCGTTGGGTGGGTTGAACTTCGAAGCTCCCGTTTCCGCCAACCGCGCCCACTCTGTCTGGCCTGCTTCTCCACAGCCCGCGCTCCCCGCCCACGCTGCGCAGCCGGCTGCCGACTTCACTTCCGCCTGCAGCAAGCCCTCCGGGGGTGCGCCTGCGCGTCCATCAACTGCACCTTCCTGGCTCTGGAGATGATGTGCAGGCTCCCATCTGTTCCGAGGGGCCCCCTGTGCCAGATAGATGGAAAGAAACCAAGTGATGTGGCGACCCTTCAGGGTGCAGAGGGCTTAGTAGGTGGATAGTGTTAACGAAAAAAAAACATTGAAACCTGTAAAGAATTTTTTGTGAGTTTATTTGAGCCAAACTGCCAGGAAGCAGAACCTTAATGGGTTGAGATAAAGCTCCGGAGAATGGCAGGTTACGTGTCTATATTTATACATTGCAATCAAAGGAAAGGGATGTAGGTGAGTTACATGAAATTCATTGGTGATAGATCAGGGAGATGGGACAGAGCGAAGCAGGGAAACCTCTGTGATAGGGTAAAAGGTGAAATGATGGACGTTAGCTTCTTTTACAGAGATGGATACAGGATACTCTAACTTAATTAACAGCTGACAATTAACTTGATAACAATAACAATGAGGGAATGTCTCGAGGCCATTTGTTGTGCCCTGAGGGGTCCAGGGTAAAAAGGAAGTTAGGAGTTACCCAGACATTTCACAGATATGTTATCTTAGATGCAGGAAGGCAGATGGGCTCAGTAAACTAAACTAAAGTTGATCTTTGTGTGAAAGAAAAGAGCCACAAGCTAACCTGACAAGCTCAGGGAAGGCCTGTGTGGCAGTTTTGCAAACCCAGAGACCTAAGATAACCACAAGAGATGGTCTGAAAATTAAATATCTAACAGGTTATAGCAGGTAGTCATGTCCCAGAGATTTCACCTGACAAAGATCAACTTTGATCTTTTACTGAGCCCCTCTGCCTTCCTGCATCTAAGATAACATATCTGTGAGACGTCTGGGTAACTTGTAACTTCCCTTTTTCCGGAGCCCCTGGGGAACAACCAAATGTGGTGGGCAGATGCCTCAAATTCCTTCTTTATCATGTTAATTGTCCCTGCACTCACCTGAGTATACATTCATCATTTTACTTTTATCCAATCCCAGGAGTTTCCCACCGCTTTGCTTTCTCCCACCTCCTTACTCCATCACCAATGAATTTCATGTAACCCACCTATGTCCCTCCTTTGATTTCGGTGTATAAATAGAGAAATGTAATCCACCATTCTTCAGAGCACTATCTCAATCTGTTGAGGTTTTGCTTCCCAGCAATTGTCGACATTTTTGGCTCAAATAAACTCATTACAAAATTCTTTACAGGTTTCAATGGTTTTTTTCATTAACATTTGTTAGGTGAAATATCTGGGACATGACTACCTACTATAACCTGTTAGATATTTAATTTTCAA